AAATGACTCAAGCCAAGTAAAAATCATTTGTTAAAGTGAAAAGTTATTATTGTTTTTTGTTTGGGACCATCCCTAATTTTTATCAAGAGTATAATAAGCTTTTTTTTCCCAATTCTTTTAATTAAGTGTTTTTTATTCATAAGAATTAAAGATAAAAACATTACTTAATATAATGCAATGAAATATGTAACATCCCATTTTTTTTATAAAATATAATATAGATATTTATTAATAAATTTGGTATTTTTATTTCATTAAGGAGAACTGATTAATAGTTATTATTAAATATTAGCTACATTTTGTGATAATTAAATTTGTTGATTTTAGTAACTATTTATAATTATTTTTATATGAATATATTGTGAGGTTTTGTAATTAAAGGTTATATTATTTAATTATTTGTTAAATGAGGGAAAAGATTTTTTAGAATAGCTATGGTTGACATTTTAACTAAAGGGTTAAAAGGAGGTTAAGTTTTAAAAAGAAAATAGAATTGATCACATTTTTTCTACTTTTGCATTTTACGCTTCTTTTCACGTACAGAGCTCGAAGAAACTGAAGGAGGAGAAAACTACCCCAGAGTCGTCCATCTTTTTCTACTCATCAAGGTAAGGGGGGAGTGAGAAACCTTGCTCTAGGTGTGGGAATGTATGTTGGGTAGTGAAATTGACCCCTAATCTTGTCTCTGTTGTATGCCTATGTGTGAAGGGTGTTCCCCAAATGTGTCTTTTTCGTCTCTATGTCTCTTCAAATGTTCTAATTGGTGTAATTATTATGTATGTATGAGTAGTGTCTACGTTTGGTTTGTAATTGTAGATTTTGGTGTTCCTATGGGAAACCCTAAGGGAATACATTGGAGTTGTATGAAAGAATTGTTGGAAGATGTAATTGTTTGAGTAATGTCTACTGTTTTCATTGTTTATTGCATGATTTAGAACACTTTTATCGATTGTATGAAGAGATTGATGATTTGAATATAGAATGCAAAAATCGCAGATCTGCAAAGTTTTGATAGCAGAAACTACGTTGAGCGCCAATTCTAGCGCTAAGCGTCAAGGCGATAGAGAGCTAGTAGTGCTCTCTATGAACCTCACGTTGAGCGTGACCCACATTGAGTGTGAGTTCCACATTGAGCGTGGCTCAACCAAAGAATTAAGGTTACTTTTTGCAAGTCTTACATTGAGCGCCCAGTTTGGGGCTAAGTGCCAGCTGCCTTGTTGTGTTTTCTTTCTTCTCTATTTGATGAATTCTAATTGTGCAATGTGAATCTTATTCTTACCTCTCTACTGTGGTCCATGATTGGCAATGACGTGAATTATTAGTGTTATTCAATGTTAATCTTTAATGAATACATTTGATGATTATATGATATGAGGCTATATGATAATGAGACATAATATTGTGGTATGATAATGCATAGAGTCTTGATTTACATGTATCATTTGCATAAATGTTTTAAGGGTAAGATATGAAATACACAGCTAGGGAAGACCTCCTTGTGTAAAAGCTTGGGGATCAGTCCTTGGGGATAACTCGGTTTGTAAGTCCTAGTCTCGCCCATTGTGTGCATGTGATGTATCTTGCGCGGCTTAGCTACCCCGACCAAACCCTGATAATATGTCCTTCTAGTGAAAGTGTGTAGAGGGTGTGACCTAGTATGTACTCCTAGACTAATCTATGTGTGTTACTAGCGACAATGCATTATGTGATGTTTTACTAGTGCCACATGCATGACAACATGTAGTCCATGTCCATTACATATGCATTTTAATGTTATATGTTAATCGATTTTTATGTCATGGATGAATGAAGTGTAATATCATTATTAACCTGTGTATGCTATATATATATATATATATATATATATATATATATATATGTCTTATTTGTGTTTGGCGATCCGGTGTGCGTTCGTACAGCGTGAGCTAGGGTGAGATGTTTCTCACTCCTTTTCTTGTATTGTTTCCCTTAGTTATATGCAGGTGATCATCAGTATGAGACTGAGGATGTATGAAACCTAGACTTCAATATTAGGCTTTACTTTGAGAGGACATGTGATATCGAGGAATAAATATGATCAAATTAGGATGTTATTTCTATCAATTTATTTTTCAAATCTTAGTTTTATTTCTTTTGGAATTTCTGCTAGTTATGTTATTTTGTTCAAGTTTACAGTTGTGATGCTCTGTATTTGAACATGTTGGTACTTAATTATGAAGGAATTATGTTATTCTAATTTTATTATTTATGTGTTATGTTATGCAGATTAGTGATGTCACAAAATAAAAATAATTAAAAAAAATACTTGTAACTATAAAGATTAACTTAAAAAATAAAACTACATTCAAAAGTGAGATGTAAAAATTATATTTTTAGAAAGAAAAATATAATTTTTTTATTACATCATTTATTATTAATTGTAGGTATTTTTGTTTTTATTATTTTATCTTTTAATATAATATTTTCATACTAATAAATAATATTAAATAAGTATAATCATTAATAATTCATTAATTCTTTTGTTTTAACTGTCACAAGCGAGTTATGTGATATCTATCGCGCATAACTAATTTTTTTTGATGTTTTCTCAGTTAACTTTCTTCTTCTAATTTACAACAAAATAATAATAATAATTAGAATTAGTATATAAAAGATTACCGATATAAAGTTATTTTTTTAATATTAAACTTTAATATGAAAATATTAAAAATATCAAAAATGTATTTTTTAGTGTTAAAGATGACAAATGATTGATCTACTTAATTGGTAAAAATGAATTTGTTGATTATTTTATTAAAATTGGATTAAAAATTTTAACTCAACTTAACGGGATCCTAAATTAGGTTTAAGTAATTAATTAAAATAAAAAAATTAAATATTTTTTATTTATATAAAAATAATATATTTTAATTTTAATTTCTATAAAAATATTTTTTTTAATTTTTATTCTTATAAAATTTGTATACATTATTTTTTTGTCTTTGAAAGATATTTTTAGTTTTTAAAATGAGTAAATTTTGATTTTTATCTTTAAAAATATTATTATTTAATTTTCTTCATTTTAAAATCTAAAATAATTTTTTTTTAAAATCTAAATTTGACATATTATTTATCATAGGCTTGTTTTGTAAGTTTGATCTGACTTATTAGTCTATTTTGCATTAACAATGATAAATAGACTAATAAATTCAATTTTAAATAAGTCAACAATTATATTTCTAAATATGAGTTTTTTCTTTTAATTTACATGATAAAAAAATAATTTACTTGGCTATTATTAAAATTTAGAATTTAAAATAAAAATAAAACTAATTGAGGGATAACTGATGCATACATATGTACACTAATGTACATACATAAACAATAATGAAATAAGATAATCTTATAAAAAAAACCTTCTAAATATTCTTTATATCCCATTTGAAGTATTCTTAATAATAATCAACCATGAAGATAAAAAGAAAAAAGTAGGCAAAGATGTGACCGTTAGATTTTTATTTTTGACTTCATATGAATAAAGGATGTAAAATGTTTAACTGTAGTGAAAATGTCAAAAATATTGATAATTTGATCTTTTACATTACAAAATTATTTATTTAATTATATTATTAATAATGTAACATGTATATTCTTTTTATTATATCATATAGATAAGAGACTAGTCTATCAAGTCTAACTTAATTTTTATAAGCCTTTTTAAATAAATAGACTTTTGTAAATGTCTAAATTTTACCATTTATTAAATAGGTCAGACTATATCAGAATTTAAATAGATTAGGTCACAAGTTTCTATTTAAAGTTTGACCTATTACCATTTCTAGTCTTTAATGATAATTTTAAGATATATAAATAATATTTATTTTAAAAACCTATGCAAATTTTTTAGAGATGTCACACATTAACATGATGTCACTTAATAATTGTGAGTAGCATATGAGATAACTTACTTAATCTTTTCATAAACAAATAAACTTTTTAAAATGATTAATAATAATAGGAAATAAAAAAATATTTTCAATTTTTTTAAAAATAAAAATAAAGAAATTTGTACAAATATTAAAATGAAAATTTATTCATTTTATAAAAATTAAAATTATATTTAAACCAATATATATATATATATACAAAAAATTGATAAATATAAGTTAACTTAATAAATAAATATAAATATAAAATAATATTATATTACTAAACTGTTAACATCTTTCAATAAATTATCATCATGAGTTAAATGAATATAATAAAATTACATAAAATATAAAATATTATATAAAATATTATATTTAATAAATTAATATTTAACTTAATAATTTATAAAATAAACTTAAAAAGTTATTAATTTTGTGAATTAATCCAACTTATCATTTAACTCATTACAAGTCATGTAAGTTGATCGAAAGATTCAATTATTAAATTTAATTTAACTTTGTCAAATGAAGTGAGTTAATATGTTAGATTAAATTTATTATAAAATTTTTAAATAAGAAAATGTGAAAAAAAAATATAAGATAGTGTAATCATAAATTCTCTTGACTTTTAATTGGTTCAAAATAATATAAATCAATTTTTTGTACTTAACATGCATAAAAATTAATTTATTTATTTTAAAATCGTTTTTATTTTCTTAAATCCTGATATAATTATATCTACAAAACAGTCAAATAAAACATAAAATATAGTACTTTTTTATTTTTTCGTTCCTGAAATATTCATCACCGATAGTAATGACTAATCTTCTCGCTATGTTAGAGACACTTCAAAAAGTAGGATAGTGGTTCCAAGAACCCCTAGACCTTGCTTATAAAAAAAAATATAGTACCCCTTTGTTTACAAACAATAACAATTTGAAAGATTATGTGACGATTTATATTAATTTTACACTATAGTCATCCCTATTGTTATTAATCTCTGTAATTATGTTTAATTCTATTAACACCATCTTTCATGAAAGGGAAGTGTGTCATTAATTTATGTCTTGAATAACAAATCCGTGGTTTTTGTTTTCGGGTATCCTGGCGGATGCATCAGACGCGTGGCGACATGTGTGACTGAATGGGCAGTTGTGGAAAATTAATGAACAAAAAAAAAAATTGGTCACGCTGTTCATTTTTTTCTTTGATGCATTCATCATCGCCATCAAGACATCAATTTGGGAAGTTCTTCTCTGCTGCAAGGTCCAAAAAGTCAGTGCAGTGAAAACGGACGATCCGAAGAATATTACCCTTTCATCTCTCTCTACATAACATTAACCAGTAAGATAAACCTCTCTCACCAATTTCTCTTTTTTCTTTTCTGGGGTTTTAAATTTTAAGGTTGTTTCTTTTGTGTCTCAATCTCTAGGATCAGTCTGATCTTATGTCAATGAAGAATTTTTAGATAAAACTCAGGTTTGTTTTCTTTTCTAATATGATTTTCTCTTTCCGGGTCATTTCCTTTTTATTTTATTTTATTTTATATATTTTTTTTAAGGTTTTACTAGTTGATACAGATTCACGGAAATTTTGAAAACAAAACCTGAAGGCAGAGAAAAAAAGCCAGCGACTTTTCATCTCTACGCTGGTGATTATGGCTGTTGCTGAGAATGTTGGGCCCAAAATCGGTTCTTCCAGTCAGAATTTGGACCATGGTGTAGTGTCAGGAGATTCGAGTGAGGTTGAGAAATCAAAAACCAGAAACGATCAGAATCTGACCAACGGTGTATTCAACCATCAACAGCATCAAGAGAGAGTTCCTGGCACTATGTCAGTTCCTAACGGAAATTTCGGCTACAAAGCTCAGATGCACCCAAATGGAGTGAACAATGATGGGTATGGGATGAATGGGGTTATGAGTGACGAGAATGGGGGTGAGAGCTTCAAACGTGATATGAGGGATTTGGAAGAGCTTTTGTCTAAGTTAAATCCCATGGCTGAGGAATTTGTGCCTCCATCACTGGCCAATAATCATGGCTTCTTAGGTGGACCTAATACTGGATTTGGTTACCCTAACAATTTTATACTTCCTAATAACTTTGGAAATACTAATGGTCAAACTAACAATAGAAGGGTATGAATAAACCAGTTTGAGTTTTTTTAATTTTTTGTCTTTTTTCCAAATACTAGGTTATTGGCATAAGGTTTCACTTTTTTCTTGATGCAATTTATGTTCTACAGAGGAAGAATGGTTATAATCCTGGGAAGCGAAGAGTGAATCATAAAATAGATATGGAGAAAAGGGAAGAGATGATTCGGCGGACCGTTTATGTGTCGGACATTGATCATCTGGTACAAATTTTACCTGTCTTGTGGATTCTCTTGTTAACTTGCAATATTTGCCACGTGTAATCGTGTGCATGATTGTTGTTTTTCTGTTGGTGTATTAGGTAACCGAAGAGCAGCTGGCAGCTCTCTTTCTCAACTGTGGCCAGGTAGAAACGGTTACGATCTGTTTAGTTCATTTGTTTCCTTCGTAATTATGGTGGACCGGTTTACTAAATTGGGTCTTTGTTCCTGAATATAGGTTGTTGATTGTCGTGTATGCGGAGATCCTAACTCAATTCTTCGATTTGCCTTCATTGAGTTTACTGATGAAGGTAAATTGCTGCCAAATATTGCTCATAAGCGGTAGTTATTGTTAATATTTCACTGTATTAACAGTGTTTTGCCTGCAGATGGTGCAAGGGCTGCTTTGAGCCTGTCTGGTACCATGCTTGGATATTACCCACTGAGAGTGCTACCTTCAAAAACTGCCATTGCACCTGTCAATCCAACATTTTTGCCCAGGGTAATGTTTCTTGATTCATGATGTCTATTGCATGTAATTGAAGATGATTGACCTTAGTGAACTAACAATGCTTGTTAACTTTCTAATGGTGCTGTATTTCTCAGTCTGAAGATGAAAGGGAAATGTGCTCAAGAACAATTTATTGCACAAATATTGACAAGAAGGTAGTTTAAGAACACTTTCATAGAATCTTGCTTGAAGGAACTACTTGGTTTTTCTCCTGTGTCTGTGTCGCTGCAATTGAGGCTCACAATTTGTAAAATTTTATTTTCTTGTTACTTCTGCAGCTTACTCAAGCAGATGTCAAACACTTCTTTGAGTCTATCTGTGGAGAGGTTTGTAGCTTTTAATGGATCTAGGATTATAATGTTCATTGCTGGTTGAATTTAAGCATCATATGAGATAGTTTCCATTACTTTGGTGTATTCATCTAGGTTCAATACCGTTTGTTGTTGGTTAAATGAATATGTTGTAAAACATTTTCCATTATTTTGATTTATTCATCTAGGTTCACCGCTTGAGGCTTCTTGGGGATTACCACCATTCAACTCGAATTGCATTTGTTGAGTTCGCAATGGTAATTGTTCACTAACTTTTCAAATGTCTTGTTTTCATCTGAGTCAACTTGGGTTTACATATCTGTCTTTGCATATTTTCTATCTCTTTGTGAAGTAAATCAAGTAATAACTCTCAGGTTGAGTGCTACTGCTGGCCTTGCAGTTATATATTTACCCTTCTCCAAGTATCTCATACTTCTCGATGTGGGAGTTAGGGATACCATAATACTCAAGTCCCTATCAGTTTTGTACTTTCATAGTTAGAGTAACCGCATATTGAGAGTAATGTATTATTTGGATGGAAGAAGGTATATGTATGTATAAAAAGTGAACTGTGTAGATCCTCGTACTTTTTTTCTTTAGGAGAGCGTGATAGTAAGCTATATATTTTCTTTTAGGATAAGCACTCTAGCATTTTTTTTTAAAAAAAATTCTGGGAAATTTAGTAAAACATTTACTATTTATTGGTGTAAAATGAGTTACTAAAATTAAAGTCTTTTTCTCATACCCTCTCTGTTCTTTTAAATTTCATATGCGGGTATTGTTTGTAAAAGCAAGGAGAACTGTAAATCTCTTATGGCAGATCTGCAGACAAATATTGGGGAATGACCTCACCTCTCTTTTCATTTGCCTCCTCTTCATCCAGATTGCGCCATGGGTAGAAATTGTCAAATTCTTTAAATTTGTTTCTCATCAACGATTTTATGAAGATTTGGTCTCTTCTTGGTAGAGATCTGGTTGTATTTCTCTTATGACAGATCTGCTGTCAAACTTGCATTTAATTTCTTAGTGAGCTACTATTTTGGTGGTGGGTAAAAACAATTTGGAGGGAGAAAAAAAAAAATAGATCCACCTGAACCCCAATTTCATGTTTAACGTCATCTCTCCATATGTATTCTGTGATTGGCCTGTGGTTGGTTTGTTCTTGTTGATGACTGGCAGATGGCATGTGGGCTGAGGCTGGTGGGGGGTGGTGGTTGGAATCTGTTTGTGTATCACAATTGTGGTCTAAAACTTATCTCCTACAAACTTGGTTGTGGCTGGCTTTTGGGTGTGACCCATACTGGGATTGTTTTTGTACATTTTGTCAAATAATCTTCCGCTTTTAACTCGTTTCTATCTGCTTGCTGGTTGCTTCAAACATTTTACTGGTTGTGGTTAATAATTAATGTAGGAGTTGTAGAAAACATGCCTTTTTTCTTTTGGATTCTAAAACTTGTGTTGTTTACATATATAAATAAATAAAATTGTGTATTTTATATTATGATCTATAATTTTAATTTCATTTGTGGGTTCAACCAGCTTATGCATTTTTTTTTTGGAATTTGATTTAATGTTAGTAATGAACTATTGTTTCTTAATATTATTTTGCTTATCTATGTTATTCTATATGTATATACTATATATACTTATTTAAATATAAATTTGCATTTTAGGAAGGATCTAATGATTTGTGTTATGATCATGTTTTAGGTGTTGTCGTCTCCCTTATGATTCTAGTTAGATCTTAATGTTGGAAACTCTGCATTGAAGTCAAGCTCACACTATGAGTTGAGAATTAGGGACCACAATACAATGAATAGCCAATATGCTGACTTTTATCTTGAGTCTCTTCGTTCATGGGTCGATATTCTGGTGTCCTAGCTGTGGTGGAACCACACCAATCCATTCCAAACTTTGGTTGTTAAACTTGACTGTGGTGACAGTATTGTAGGGGAGGTCCTACAGAAAAATAGCTCGACGCATCCACACATATGAAAGAAGAGAGAAAAGAGTCAAAAAAAATACTAAATCAATTTTTTATAATGAACTAAATATTAAATTACAGTAATATCCATAAATGGAAGTTATATAACAATAAAAGGAATTGGCTTTTCTGTCAAAAGAAAAAAGGTATAGGTTGTTAACATAGTTAAACATACTCTTAGTGGGAGGATCAATGTTAACAGCACTTGCGCACGTCTTTGAATGTTGCTTTGCTTTCTGCAATATTTCCTTTGTGCTACTCCTTAAACCTTACCATATTAGGTGCTCTTTTAGCAATTCATAGCAAAATACTTGTTTATTTCCTTGCATTATATTTTTTTTTAAAGTAGAAAAAAAAAACTGTATTAGGAATCACCCTAATCCATGAAATTGTTTGAAATAAATCTGGAAGCATAATGTGGTGAAAATAGGCTGTAATAGTAATTCTTTTTCACATAAAGTAAAAGTGGTTGATTGGATCTCAGAGTAAGTAGTATGCCTTAGTTTCACGCCAATTTGTTGGACAATAAAATTGTCAAGTGGCTTTAGGTGACTATCTATTTTATGGGAGGAAGGCTGCGCTATCTTTTTCATCCATGGAATGCTACTGAGAGAAGGATGGGTGCACTATTCACCTCTATTCATCCATGGAGTGCGAGGATTTCTGTAATATGGGACTGACAAAGTTCATTAGTTGCTTGCCTCTATAATTATTTGCTATGAGCTACAGCATTGGGGGGGGGGGGGGGGGGGAAGA